GTTCCCATGCACTCACCAGTGTTGTGTGTACTGGGCATCTGTGCTCTCACTTAACATGACTGACATTTCTGAACAGATTGTAGAAAGCATGGACAACACTGAACATTCCTGACCTTCTAGTAGAAGGTCATGAGGTATCACAGAGGTCACCACGCTTGTCATACTACTTTGCACATGGCAAATACAGCTCTACTGACCTTGGCTGAATGACACTGCACTCCCATTAAAAAATACATGTTATCCTCTACATGTGAACTGTATTTGTGCTAACATAAACCTGTAACTGAAATTATAGCTCTTAGTTATACTATTATGCTATGATAATGCATTTGAGAGCCATCTTGAACTTGCATATTATACAGGTAAACATAGAACTGGACCCAAATTCAATTTATATAGCAATAACTAAAATCAACTACTTGTTGATTTAATGAAATAATTAGCTTTAATCATGGGAGACAGACACCTGTAGCAGTGGTGACACAGGTCTCTTGACTAAGCAGACTGACGGCGAATAATCACCAATCAGTCACTCTCTGCTGAACATGCCCGGACAAAAAATAATCACTCTCTGAAACTGGAGTGAAAATAAAAACAATGCCCTGTTTCCCTTCACTACAGTCTGTGTTGTCAAACCGTCACCAGTGTCTGGGTTGAGGGAAGCTGTGCACAAATTGCATTATAATGTGTATAGATTAGAAGCACAGGTGTGTGCAGGTGCTGCGTATGTACGGTACATGTGTGGAGCGAGGGCTGTGCTGACTTGCACCATAGCCTCACTTGCTTCACTGCCACCACGTTCGCAAAGATGTCACAACACTCCGCCGCCGCCGCCGCCTCCCTCTTCTTTATCCCTCAGTGCCAGTGTGAGAACACTTCATCCCCCTGATTCCCAGACGCAGACACACCCATCTGACAGGCTCACCTCCAACCAGATCCCACCCTCCCATATGCAAACCGCACTCAATATTAGCTCCTAAACATGTACAACTGTCACTATCCGAAACCGACACGCACAATCACTTCCAAATGAACCTTGACAATGAACCCAGTTGTAGCCTGAGTCTCAATGAGGTAATTGTATTAAATACATTCAAACTGAAATGCATTGTTATGATATAACATACGTATATATATGTATATGATACAGCAGGGAGACAAATAGGCAGACGCAACAATATATTTTTTACTTTTAATAAAAACCTGCACAGGTATTTCAGTTCTATGACAAATAATGAATGAATTAAAATGTATCGAACTATCTACCTAAACTAGTTGATGTAACGCCGTATTTTACATGGAATTAAATCAATAACATCAAATAACAAAAGTTAAAAACAGAGAAGAGACAAGTGCAGTTGTGCCATCACACTTTGAGAAGAACTGATCTAAAAACTCTGGAAGCAGAAAATTGATTCTTTGTCAAAATGTTTGCTTTCTGATTATGTCAGAGCCTGCTTCATTGCCACGTCGACAAATTAATATTTAGTTCTTTTAAATTTTCTTAAGGTTTGAAGAAAAAAAGGATAGAAATAAAAAATAGGGTTGAAAACCTGATTATATATAATAAAGCATAACTCTCGTCATCACTTGACAAAGATATAATGTTGATTCTTATCAAAGCTGTTTTTGAAACACCTGAGAGCTGTGTAGTAGTTATTATTATAGGACACCTGTTGAAATAATACCATCTGCCATCAGTGTGTCTTAGCATGGAATTGTTTTTATTGGTCGGACACAACATATAAAAAACCTTTAAGAAAAAGCTAATGCTTTTTTCCCCATCTAAATGCCTGGTTATCTTCTGTTAAGGAGAATAGTCAACACAACCCACCAGACAGAGCTAAAGTCATGTGACGTCTTCATTCTCCAGATAAGTGCTGTAATAGGAGACGGTTGCAAAGAGTCGATTGGTGGATAAGCTTTTGTCACCATATCAACAATGATTTCAATTTAAAGCCAATGTTCATCTAACAAGATAATAACATTTTTTTTTGTTCCTTTGTATCGACTCCTGCGACCTTCAACCCAGACTTTTGTAGAAAACCTGCTGCTCTTTGAATTTGAGAAGGTGACCCAATCTGATACTACATCACTCCCAGTCTCTGTTCTGTTGAGATAATACAGTCGTTTGCTGCTCATCTTGGAGACAATACGTTGGTGAATGTTTCTCTTAGTGAGAACAGTGTGTTGATAAGACCGTGACACCGTTGGTGAGTAAACCATCACTCACGTTTTCATCAGCGCTCCTCTGTGTTTCATCACAGAAGCATTGAAGACACAGAGGGCTGGATGTGACGGCATCGCAATAAACAAAACCTGTGTTCACTGTATGTATCAGTCACTTAGAGACGTCTCACCGTAATATACGTCCACTTGTCTTACCAATTACAGTATTGGGAAATATATAGTGGTCAAAATGTTGAAATGAAGAAATAGCTAAAACCAGACTAAATAGTGCTTGCAAAAGGAAAGAAACATATAGTGACAAAAATTAAAGTAGCTAAAAGTTAGCAGATAAATAATTGAAAATAAATTAAACAATAGCACTGGGGACAAAGACTTGGGGACATACTACATTAGCTAAATGTTAGTGAAAATGTACATCAAAATAACTTGTACATCAAAATTTATGGCTATAAGTTAAATAAAAAACAATTCGATAAATAAATAACTAAAATATAATCACAAACATGATAAAAAAACCTTTCCTGGAAATATATAAAAACATTTCAGAAATTCATTGCAATGAGTATTTTTAAACAATTATGTTCTGCATGTACAGTGAAAAATGTAATTGGTGTTGCTTCTATATAAATGACACCATATTTAATGTTAACCTAACTCAGAAGTTTATGTTGTGGTTTCATAATTGTGATGTTGTCGTGGACTTAAAAATACAGGTAATGTGTTAACACAGTGAACGCCCTCGCTGTAATGAAGTCAATGAACCGTATCTATGAAGACTCTCAGTCATCCACCTATGAACCGTAGTGTTACAGTTTCAGTGTGAATTCAGACATCAGCTAATAGTGTTTTCCCTGTCAAACACAACTCTTCCGCGTCTGTGTCCTGAGCTGTGAAGAGTTCGCACATGTCCAGCACATCATCAGCTCAGGACCAACATAATGAGACGTGAGATGGGCTCCGACTGAAGTGCTAATGCACTAATCATGCCCCGAGTGCTAAGAGCACTCTTCAACCGCCTGATCTGTAAGGGCCGCGTGTACTTTCTGAACTACTTTGATCACGTGTGTTCACTGTTGGTCAGCATGAAGCCATCACGCTGCCTGATGACTGGAGATTAAGATAAAGGGTGGAATTGACATTTTACTGACAGAGTGCGTGTGATAAAATTACAAATGGCTCAGTTGTGTTTTTGAACCCTTCAGATGTGAAGGATCTCACATGAAACAGAAAGCTTTTAATTATGAATGGGTGTTGTTTGCATTACAGCCTGGCTCTAAGTTACACAAATACAATCGATGATTTGATTCAGGCACAGAAATACTCGTTGTTGCCTCCGGGCAAAGTCACAGCCAGGATCTGGGACATCTCTCATTGGCTCTGCCTGAGACTGAAACTGACAGTTTATATATATATATATATATATATAAAAAGTTTTGTTCTGTTTTTCATCATCTGACATGTACATTTCTGCAGTTGTACATTCAAAAAAAGTCAGTTGGTAAATGTAGAAGTAGCACCAACAACCACAAATGAGTGAAAAAACAAACACACCGCAAGTGCTGCCAAGTTTTCCCTTGAGCACAACTGTTTAAACTGTCAATATGGATGACCCAGGAGCAGAAGTTGTGAGCCAATCAGCGTCGTCCTCCACAGACAGACCTGTCGGTGCACCTGCTGATTCCCAGGCCTCCTTGCCAAACTTCCACTACAGTGAAACCCAGCAAGAGTGAAACTGGCTGGGAGCCAGAGGAAGAGCTGGTTGACTACTCTTGACACAATCGCTGAGTGCAGGGGATCCTGGGAGGAGGGACGGCACCACGTGTGGAGATGAGAAACTAGATGACTAACCATGAGAAGAGAGGGGAAGGAGGAGGAGAGGGAGAAGAAACAGTTCACTGAACTCCTGGGAACCTAAAACCTGTCTAACCGTGGCCTTTAGGATTGCTCAACAGGAGTATTATGACTGCAAAACCTGTGTCTTTGTTGACATCATGTGTGAATGTTGAAACAAAGCCCCCCCCCATTCCACCTCCTCCCGCCTCCCCGATGTGGAATAATATTCCTAATGTTTCAAATCCAAGCAATCATATTTATGAAAAAAAAAATGTTCCAAACACCAGTAGTTCAAGAAAGTTCTGAAAATTTAAGCAAATGGGAGACACACTCTCTCTCTCTCTCCCTTCAATCAAAGATATCAAGTGATTATATGTGTCCTTGTTGATTCTGATATTCTGATTAAATTATTGCTAGATCTGAAGTACTTTCTTTCAGGGGAAAAGGGAAAAATACTCAATGACCTCCTGCAGTTTTTAGAACAACACGTGAGGAAAACTGCTTCATATTTTCCACGTGACAATCATGAGACAATAATGGCATCCACTCTGGTTCCTTAAATAGGAATGAAATCCATTAGTCACCATTGTTTTAAAGGGAATATTTTTCCTGTAATACTTATGCCACGAGACAATCACAAACATCATGTCTTTTTTTTTTTTAGATAATCAGTTTTATTCAGCTTATGTAGAGAATTAGGAATAATTATTGTTTCTTTCCATTATTTAGGAAATGTGAGTAAATAAAAAGGTGTCTTTCAAATAAATATGTTAAGATATGTTAAAACAAACTGAGTGAAATATAGAATCAGTTGTCACTGTCAAACACAGTCAATGTGTATTTTCTAAATATAAAATATATTGTTCTAGTTGCCTTACATTTTTATTTCACTTTTCCTAGTCTTTGTTTGTTGAGCTTTTTTTTTCATAAATGGAAAATTAAATTGATTAAAAAAAACATGCTCCTCTCATTTTCAGGCTTAAACCAAAGAAGTCCCCTTCAGCTCACTGACAAAAGCCTACAACCAGAGCTCTGACACATGACTGCATGACGGACAGCACGGCAACTGACGGTAAACACATTGCTCACGTATTGTGTTGTGTTTTTTAAGTCTCTCACTCCTCTGTGACTCATCCAACTTCACCAGAACAAATGCGGTCCAGATCTGTAACTCCAACAATAGTTTTATAGTCCCCCCTGCCACATTCACTGCAGTTTGATGTTCTTGGTTTTTGATGTTGAAGAAGCAAGTATAGCGCAAAGCAGCTGTTGATTCAAAGCACGGAATTAAGAGTTTAACTCATCTGTGATTGTTTTGAGTTCTTTCAAAGAAGTCACTACCAGACACAGCAATCAGTCACAGTGTGGCACTGCCAGACCCTGTCAGCTGTCATGTGGATTGCATTAGCATTGGTCAACCCACACACAGCTGGAGGCCTGAGGGTAGTTATCATATCCTTGGAAGAGGAGTCGGGTAAGGAAAAGTACCTGGTGTGATGATCAGGATTACTCGGCCCTCCTGTAGTGAACTGTGATTACTGCGTTTTAATTAAAATGTTTCTTTTTTTTAAATGTTTAAAGAAACCTCTTTGCCATGAATTTAAAGCAGTTGCTACTATCAAACATAAGTTGCACCGATGCTGGCGAAAGTCAGTTCCAAAAATACGCATGACAATGACTCTCTGATTCGCACTTCATTTATTTGCATTGCATTTTTTTCTGATATGTAAAAAAGACACAAGTCAGAGAAAGGGAAATGAAAACAAAACAGGCTTGATGTTGTAAACAGATGCATTTAAAAAAAATCCACCTTGTGTCCTTATATATTTGTATAACCATATAAACTGTTTTAACAAACAGAATAACATATACATCAAATTAACTTCCATAGGAAGCATATTTGAGCCTCGTGACACAGTGAACTTTGACATACACCTGGTATCATTTCATAAAATATAATAGTGTTCTGCACATTTTTTGACGGCCCAATGCTTTTCTTTTTCTTTAAAAAAGTGCACTTACAATGGCACTCACCCAGAGGCTGTTTAGCATCATTTACCTCTGTACACACTGGGCTATTCAGGAGATAAGGAGTGTATTGAAAATATAAACAAAGGAGGGGGGTGTAAGCCGATGGAGGTGGTGGGAGGATCTGCAGGGTGGATGTCAAGACTCCTGCCGTGCTCACTCTTACAGATGCAGATTGATGGGAGTCAGGAACAAAAGCCATAGGTTACTGCTGCCATGCAACCCTGCATATCAGACATGGTGACTTTCAAATGAATTCCTGTGCCGTCAGGACAATCACACAAAGGAAATACAGTATTTATTTTTTTAAATCAAAAACATCCTCCTGTGATGCTGGTGGGGGGGGGGGGGGGGGGGTGTTAATAGAAAATTCTTCAAAGATTTGATGAAAAATTCTGGTCCAGATATTCTGGTGATAAGATTGTCATATGATAAACAATAAGGTCAGAAATTCACCAGCCAGAACCAGCCAGGGGAGCTTTGCCACACACAGGTAAGAATGTGGCACCTCACTATGCAGCCTGACGTTGCAGATACTGCTGCATATAAATAAGCTGGT